TCAGAGCCTGGCTAGGGAGGAGGCAGTGATCTGAAAGACACCCCAGGCCCACACCCCGGCCCCCTGGATCTCCCAGGCCCAGGAGACTCTAAAATTAGCGTCTAACAAAGGCCTTACCCTGCACGGCCCATGGAGCCTTTGGCAGGGAGGTCTCTTCAGGGGGGTTCCCTCTCATGCTGGTCTGGCTGCAGGAGAGAGTGAGGTTCAGGGCCTGCTCGACGGGACCCAGTTGGGAGGGCAGGGGGTGGGGGCCAGGAGAGGCACCCAGGCAGCGCTCTTCAGAGTCTCCGGTGCAGTGGGACCAGGACCACAGTGGCTAGAGGGCAGGGTAGAGCCTCCAGGAAGGGCCAAGCAACTAACATTCAGACACAGAGCCTGGTACATCCCCGGCAGTGGTGCCACATCGCACCTACGTGACCATGGACAAGCTAGTATTCCCCTACACCTGTTTCTTCCTCTGTAAAATCAGGAAGACTAAGTCAAAGCTGGCAGGGAGCTGTGGGTACTAAATGATCACTAGATCCATAATTCCAGGCTGACGACTGGGTGCAACTGTGCTAGCACCACTGCCTCCTCCCACACCCTTGCCTGTCCCACCCCCATGCTACACCTATCCCGCCTCTCTCCTACACTGGTCTGCCCTCCACCAATGGGGGACTGGCAAAGCCTTGAGATTAAGGATCCAGGTGACTCCTTTGAGGAGTAACACATTTGAATGCATTAGTTCCGGTCTTCTTCTTAGAAAAACAAATAAATAAGGGGTGCCTGGCTGGCTCAGTAGGAAGAGTATGCAACTCTTGATCTTGGGGCTGTGAGTTTCAGCCCAACTTGGGTGTAGAAATTACTTAAATAAAACTTAAAAAAAAAAAAACACCACAAAGTAATAATAATTCCTTCAGGTAAACAAAGACATGGTCACACAGATGTTTGCTACTACATTATTTATAACAATGATAATTTCATAGCACCCTGAAGGGGACTAGTTGAGTTAGCATCCTACCACAAAATGGAAGATCATATGGCCACTATAAATTATAACGGAGCTCTGTATTTATCAGCATTTCCATGGCAATAAATGTTGAGTGGTGGGAAAACACAGGTTATGAGAAAATCATGTATAGATGATCCCATAGGACACAGAGCTGTGTGTGTATATAGCTAGGTATGGTTTCCTGATCAGTAGCAATAGCATCACCTAAGAGCTTGTTAGAAATATAGACTGGGGCCCACCTCGGGCTTTGAGGAATCAGAATTTAACAAAATCCCCAGGTGGTTCATGTGCAGGTTACAGCTGGAAAGCAATAAAGGCATTGTCTGGAGAGTTTCCCAGTAAAATATTAGGGAATGGTTATGTCTGGGGGGGTGGGGGTGGGATTGGGATTTTCTTTTCTTCCTGTGCTTTTCTGAACGTTAGCATTTTTCCCCAGTAAACATGTGATAAAAACAATAAAGTTATTAAAATGCTTGTAAAGATACAAGATCCAAAACTATAAAACTCATAGAAAAAAATACAGGTAAAAAGCTTTGTGACACTGGACTTAGCAATTATGTCTTTGATATGGCAACAAAAGCAAAAATAGGATAAATGGGACTATATCAAAATTGAAAACTTTTGTGCATCAAAGGATACAGTCAAGAGAGTGAAAAGGCAACCTATGGAATGAAAAAATATATACAAACGTGATAAGGAGTTAATATCCAGAATATATAAAAACTCCTACAACTCAACAAAAAATCAAATAACCTGACTAAAAAAAAATGGACAAAGAATATAAACAAATATTTCTCTGAAGAAGATATACAAATGGAGAACAGGTATGTGAAAAGATACTCAGCATCACTAATCACTAGGGAAATGCACATCAAAACCATGATGAAATACCACCCCATACCCATTAAGATCATTACTATCAAAATGCAGAAAATAACATGTTGGTGAGGATGTGGAAAAATTGAAAGTTCTCCAGGTGCGGCCATCCGCCCTTCCTGGCTGGGATACACAGAAAGGAGTCTCCTAACAGCCTCCTGGGAAGCTCTGGACATAGGTTCCCAGGACATAGGTTCATGCAGCTCACTTCCCAGGGGACACCACCCCCTAATCATAGGACAGAGCCCTCATGCATAAGTGTGTAAGACAGCCAGAGACCAGAACTCCCCTGGGATTGTTGCAGAGCTGGAGGCCACAGTTCCCAGACCTCAGTGGAGTCTCCTGGGTTAAAGGGCCATATTGCCCATTTCTTTTTTTTTTTTTTTTT